GATGCAAGCAGCAGGGAGGTAACCCCTTCTGAGGCCATGAAGCCTGTCAAGTTTCAAGGAGATAGGTGCAGGGGTTTCTGGGAAACAGCACCTCAAACCGTTCAGAGCAAAACTCGTGACGTGCGAACGTGAAGGCACAGGGGGATGAAAACAGCAGGCATGGTAGCCCCTGCTGAGGTCATGAAGCCTTCCAGCTTCCAAGGAGATAGGTGCAGGGGTGTCTGGGAAACTGCACTTTGTCATGGGGTAGAGTCCCTAGAAATGGCCGTGAGACCCCTAGGGCCCTGTGACCATGCCAGCTCTGCCCTGCAGGTGCCTTCTCTTCTCACTTGCCACCACGTCTTGTTGGAAAAGGTAACTGATAGGTAGGCTGGCCTCAAGCTTCAGCTCAGTCATGGTCCTAATGGACCCCACTAAACCCTGTAGGTTCTTGGACCCCTTGCTGGGACCCACTCTAAGTAGGTGCATCAAGGTGCACAGCAACAGGAAGAGCAGACTCAGCGGAGCCACTTATCTCCACAACCTCTATCTTAACCTCCTCCGAAGTGCCTTCTGGGGAAGGAGATCTGTCTCTATAGGAAACTTGAGGGGTGTGGAGAACAAACTCAGCTGATTCCGCTTCCTTCCCCAGAATTTCCCTTGCTAGGGCACTGAGATCCAGAGCCAGCTCTTCCTCTGGCACTGGAAGGCTCAGGCCGGGAGTTGAAATTGGGGTGGAGGAGACTGTAATGCTGGTGGTGCTCGAGGTTGTTATTATGGCAGGTGCAGACACTGCTCCCATCTCCTTGGTGCCACTAGCAGAAGTGGCATGCGTGCTAGTTGTTGGAAAGAGGCCGCATCTAAGTTTTTTGGGTAGGACACAACGGATGACTTAGAGCTCTCCCTCTGTCCTCTCTTCCGCCCTGGCCAGAAGAGCGGTCACCTGCCTTTCCAGCATGCTTCATGTTCAGTGTGCTGGAAAATCTGTACATGTTTCTGTAATGTTTTATTATGTACTGATGTAATATATAAATATATGTTCTGTAATATATGTTATGCTTTCCTGCACAGTCAATGCAGACTGTCAGGGAAAACACAGATTTATTTTATGTGGAGAAAGAGTTACAGAGAATAGCAAAAACAAAAAATGGATTTTGGGGAAGGAATAAATTGAAAGGAATGGATTAGGAAAGGGTATTAGGGTATTTTGGAAAGGATTGGATCCCACTTGCTAGGAACAGGCTAGCAACTAGGAAGGGAGAGCCTTCCTGATGCTCTTGGAGGACACAGCTCACTAAGCTGACAAATGCGCAGTTGACAAAGCTAATTTCAAACAATGCTTTTATGCTTCTTCTCCGTCCCTCCCCCAGAGCACTGGGATTGGAAGGGTCCTCAGGGAAGGATCATACTCACTGGCCAGCTACACATGTCAATATTAGAGCAGTCCTTTCCCCCTCTTCCCCCTCCCCCTCTCCTTAGTTTGTATGATCCTGCAAGCCCAGCTTCGAAACTTGAAACTTCGAAATTTTCAAAAATGTTTCGAGTGCCCTTGTTTCGTTTTGAAGCTGTTTCGAAGCCTTTCGTTTTGGTGTTTCAAGCTCGAAATGTGTCAAAACACCTTTGAAACGAAACACCACTGAAATTTTGCACAGCCCTACTGAACACCTTCCACAGCTAAAGAGCAGCAAAGGGGAGGAAGCACCTGCTCATCAAGATGCTTCTGCACAGCGGCACAGAGACACTAATGTGGCTGAGAAACCAGGGTGTGAATAAATCCACACAGAAGTATGGCTGTGCCAGTGCAGCTTATTGTGCTCCCACTCAGAGAAAGTCATGGAAGAGCTCAGGCTTTCTATTTGGAAGGAGAGCCATCTCTGCCTCACCTTCCAAGCACGTGGGGAATCAAAACACTTGTTAGGCAAGGAAAGCTAGAATAGAAACCAATTGTCCCAGGAGGCTGAGAGGGGGCTGTGAAATAGGGCAGGGCATCAGGTGTGTTTGCTGGGGTGCAGAGGGCATGAGAAGACCCTTGAGACCTACATCTTTGAGGACAGGGAAGCAGCTCTCCTGGCTCCAAGCTGCTGTGCAGTCCTCCCGCCGTGTGCATGAGCTTCCACACCAGCCGCAGCGCATGAACCGTTCTGCCTGCAGGCACCGCTGGCAAGTCAGGAAGTGCTGGCAGCCTGGGCCAGTAATGTTCACACGTGACACCTTGGGATACAGAAAGGAGAGTGTTAGCACAGAGCACAGAAGGGCTGGTGCACAACTTGCAGGCAGCCCCGGGTACTCTCCACACACTGCCCTCCCACCCCTAGGAGAGCTTGGCCAGGAAAAGACACAGGCATAACACCAGTCTTGACAGCCACAAAAAGGCCAGAAAAAAACTAAATGAGTTCCAGAAGGCACTGATGCTGCTGGCATTGGCCCCTTCCTGCCCTGCTACCCTGGAGCCCGTGGTGAGAAGTCAAGTCACAGGCAGAGGCAGCTGTAGCTTCTAGGCTCTTTAGGATTCAAGGATTTTTTGACCAATAACAGAATGTCTTAGATGCCTATGAGAGTGGAGTCCCCCTGGAGAGCACCCAGCCCAGCAAGGCCAAGGTTAAAGCAACTCATGCTCACCTTGTTGCCTGTGACGAAGAAAAGGGAGTTCCCCAGCAAGCCAGCTTCACGCAGAACTGGCAATGGTGCCCCCAGGGAGAAGTTGGTCAAGATGACAGGGTAGGAGCTGGATCTCTGAAGCACCACCTGGGGGAAGTGATTGCAGCAGTCAGAGCTGAGGAGAGCATGCCCTGGACTAACACTGTGGAGTTGGTGAACAGCTGATCCTGCCCCACTGTAGGTCTAAGTTTCACCAGCAGGGACAAGCTACCTTTGCCAAGTCTGCAGCCAGACCAAGTGACTCTTCCTGCCTAGCACTGTGATCTAACCTCCTCCCTGCAGGATGCTATGAATCCAGGAGCAGAGTATGATACTTAGTGCCTTGAGCTCCTTCAAGCAAAGGAACAATCTAGGTTCTGAGGGGGCACAGGGCTGGCAGGGGTGGAGGTATTTGCATATCCCCTGCCAACTCATTTCCCACTTTGACCTGGTGTCCAGTCACCTTAACAAGCACATCATACCCACCAGACAAATCAAAGCTCCCAAAGTCCTGGTCAGGTTTACATGGTTAGTGCCTGGCACTAACTCCAGGTACCAGTTTTGTCTCATGGGTTGAATGTCACCCTGTGACAGTCCTGCTGATGTTGGCATCAGTCCTCAGTACTAGGAACTGCCCCCCTTTGCCTGAAGTAGTCTGGATGCAGCTCTGGCCATGGAGCTCAGAGGCTGTGGAGCTCACCTGCATGATGCGCCCCTCTGATGTGCCCAGGTGGGCCACGGTCACATCCCCAATGGCAGTCACGAAGATGGATGTCAGAAGGACTCCAGCCATGTGCCCATTGAAGAGGTCTACCTTGTAGAGGGCTGCAGCAATCTGGGTGGGCTTGTTCCAGCAGCTGGAGTCCACCTGGGAGCAATCATATCAGAAACTAGCTCAAGTCATTGGGGAGGACACAAGGCATGCCCCTGGCACCCCACTAAGAAACTCATCTGGCTGCCTAGCGAAAGACTATGGCTATGCCCCACTGCCACCAGGAGCAACTATGACCCCCGCCCTGCAAACTTTCACAATCTGTCTCCCCTCCAGTTCCCTCTGCAGGTTCTACAGGACAGGAGCAGCTAGTGACAGGAACCCAGTCCTGGCCCCCAGTACTCCCAGCTACTCTAGTTAGCCTCACATAGTCACTACCTGCTACTCAACACACCTTCCTTTCGCACACAAACTAACCCTCTAGCAACCCCAACCCCCTACACCATCCTCTACCCCATACACCCTTTATGCACCACTCACCACTCCAGTCCTTCAGCCACCACAGCCTTATACTCCTGATACACCTGACACCACACACATGAAACACTCACCAACCCAGTACAACTCCAGCCACTGAAAATTAACCCTAGACTCCACAATACATTCAACAGCTTTCTCAAACACCCCAGGGATCCCCCAAGCTCCTGTTGCCCACCAACTGCACAAGCTCTTCAGCACCCTTCAACTCCACACATCCCATCTTCCACCTAGAAGCATGTGTTCAGAAGCTAATGTGTCCTCCTTCCTCCTGCATCTCCCCCAGCTGGTATAGGTAAAAATCTGTATTGTGTTGTTGCAGGAAGCTAGATGGGCAGATAGACAAGTGCTTATTCATGTACTTTGGGTGTAATCAATAATGGGTTGGGTTACAGACCTGTCTCTTACCTCTTTATCTGACTTGGGTGCTAGCAGTACTTTGCCTGCTAAGAGGGAATGGAGGATCATTGGGAAATGTAACTGTACCTTCATTTGGTGTACAAAAAGGATAATCATTAAGGAACTTGTAACTGTCCCTTAATGTGCATCTAAACTTGCAAAAAAGTCCTGGATGGAGACTGGCTCTCTAAAGACCAAACAGTACTGGGGTTTTGGTAACATACCTGAGGGATCCTGGGCTAGGCAAGGGTAGAGGTTTCTAATTCCCTCCCCACCCCAAAAAATAAGTTGCAAACTGTCCAAGTCCCCTTGTGGGAACTGCCACGCAGGAGGGAGGGATGAGTGCAGGGATCGACTCCTGGCACAGACAGGCCTTCTAAGCCACAGATAGGAGACACTGGAAAGAATCTTTACTGGCAGCAGATGCAGTGTGGGGTGTTGCTTCAGAGTCCCTGGCTGCTGGAACAGCACCAAGTGGCCTGGCTTGTTAGACAGTTCCTGTGCTTGGATGGTGGTGCCACAGTCATGGAATTACTGGCTCTGGTAGTGTCAGGGGGCAGAGGTGAGAATGTGCGGCAGTGCATGGCAGAGGGAGGTAGCAGCAGAAGTTTTCCCACTGTCTTGAGCCAGCAGGACCCCATTCAGGTGGCCAGAGAAGCAGTTCACCAAACTAGGCTCTGGATCCCCTGCATACTAGACAAACAGCTCAGCAGGGTGTGGGAGTACCCCAACCAAGGAAGGGCTGTGATGGAGCAGACAGTGTGCCAGCAAGAGAAAGGACTGTGGGAGAGAATGGAGGAGAACAACTTGCAAACTGAAAGACATCAGGAGATGAAGGAACACAGGGCCAGGGGCCTGTGTGAAAGCACCAGGGGAGAGGCCTGTTCCCCCATCTATAGCAACAGAGCAGCTCCCATACAGCACATAGCCTCAGCCCCAAGAAGCTTTCAGCTCACAATGGCAAGAGTTCTCAGTGGGAAAACTGAGGCAGGGCAGGGACTATGCCCTGATTAAAACCAAGGAAGTAGCTGGTGGCAGAGCTGGGACTAGAACCCAAGTGTCCTTACCACCAATCACATGCACTAATCATAACTTCACCCTGTCTCCTTTACATGCTTCCTGCTGAGTCCAGAGCCCACAGCTGCAGAGATGCAAAACTAATGTTATACAAGGCTTTGATGATCCCTGCTGACTTCCTGCCCCTGGGGCAAGGGGCTGGACTTGATGATCCTCCGGGGTCCCTTCCAGCCCAAATGTCTATGAAATTATGAACATGTGACATGCTGTACATGGGATTGCTATGGTGCAGGTCTCCAGAAGGCAGTGCAGGCCTTGATGTATGCTGCATGCAAAATTCAACACTGCATGGCAGTCAGGGACTCCCAAAGAAAGGCAATGCGTGGACCATGACATGCAGAGAGAGAAGGGGGAACAGTCTCCAAACTCTACTCTTGCCTAGCCCATGCCTTGGGGATTAAGTAGAAGTAGCTCATGGCACAAGATGCCTTGAAGAGATTGCACCAATTCACCAGCAGTGCATATTTATCCCAAACTTAATTTCACATCAAAACTTCCATTTAAGAAATGTGTTGCATTCTCCAAAAATAAATGATGCCAAATAATACTGTACAATGACAGACTGCTGATGGACTGCTCCCCCACACTGGAATTGCTTTATCTGCTTTCCTACCTCACATTCCTTTTTAGTAGCCTTAACCTTCATCCACATGAAAACCATACAGTTGTATGAATAGAATAATTGGAAAGGTAAGATTTGCCTTTCTAGACTTAAAAAAAAAAAAAAGAGCCACTGAGGTATCAGTCTTTCAGCAGCAGAAAGTAAATGATCTTTGACAGCGGAAATACATCATCCTGTCAAGAAATCCTTTCTTCCAAAACTGTAACTTTCTCAGGGACATATATCTCAACTGACTGACACCTCCCAAGTCTATAAGAGAGCCAGTTCAGTCCAGCCTCCAAAGTTGCACTGCAACAAAGAAATTTAAATAAAACCAATCAAAGAACATTTATTAGAATGTTAGAAAAAGCCATCTAGAAATATAGGGTATAACCTGAAGGGAAATTTAGAAAACAGAAAATCCAAGACCTGCTGTTAGTCTGCAGGATACCCTCTTCCTCCTCTCTAGTCTCCCCAGAGACAATATAGGTAAGAATCTATGTTGCACCATCATGGATAGCCGGACAGACTTTGCGGTGTTTGTTCTTGTGTTTAGGAGTGTAAGTAATAAAAGGTGCTTCTGCTGGCCTGTCTCTTGCCTCTTTTATCAGTAGTCAACCTACCAATTCACCTGTGATCCAGGTAAAAGCACCAAGCCTGGAAGAGCTGGGGTGAGACTGCCCTCGTAGCCTCCCCACAGGCTGTTCCGGATCTCTCTGTCTCTGCTGCATTTGACAGCGACAGTGGAGGCAGCCTTACCTCCCCATTTCTGGGTCTGGTGCATGCTAGTGGAAGCAGGTTGGCAAGGCATACCTCAAGGCAGGTGATCGCAGGGGTGCCCAGGATGTGGTGTGGGCACTCCCTTCGAACCTCAGCAGGTCTGAGGATGCAAGCGGAGTTGACAAGAGGAGCCACCAGATTGTGCTTTAAGCCTTGTACCTCTAACATGACACACAGGAATGGGCCAGTAGGAAGCAAAGGCACTTTTGGCTATCATTCTAAAAAAAATCAGCCAATGGGTGCTTCTAACGACAAGGACGTAACATGTGCACCAGGGCATTTTGTTGGCTGATCAAGTTGTGACTTGCTGTTCCCCCTTGTAGTGGAGTCTGGACACGTTTCCCCCGAGCATATGCAAGGGGCCGTTCGCTCCCAGGTTCTCTACACACCAGTTTCCCAAGCAGCAGGAGCAGGCAGCCCAGCACAGTCAGAGCCAGCTGTTGCGGAAGGGGAGGAGCCAGTGACTGTAAACAGGCCCGACTGGTTAGCATGAGTTCAAGCCAGTGCTCTTGTGAAACAGGCCAGTCCAGTCGTCTGGAAACAGTTTCAAGTTGAAACCACAGTGCAGTAACTGATTTTTCTGCTCTTGGAAGCAAGGCAGGGAAATAACAACTGACTTCATGATGACCGCAGGGGCTGAGAATGATCTATTCTTAGGAGTGCAAAAAGGAAAGACAGATGAAATTGGACTGAGAAAGGCCACAGCAGCCTGCTGGTAGGGGAGGTTTTCTTCCTGCCTGCTCCCAGCAAACCAGAGATGCAGTCTTGAAGGATTTCCACTCCCTCCATCAGAGAGAGCTTCCAGGTTTTGAAACGAGGGAAGGAGAGTGTTCCTTATGCCATTGTCTTCAACATCTGGGTCTGGACACCCAGCCTCAGATCCATTCCAAATCACCCCTCGCCTCTACCAGGAAACCTGGGCAGGAACTGAACCATCCGTCCATACAGAAGGGGACAGTCCATGAAAATAGAGCTGTGCCTTCCACCACAACCTCACAATGCTGCTCCACTTCTCTCCCCCACCCCAGCACCAGCTCACCCTAAATAGAAACAGAGCAAGATTTCTGCTCTCAGCAAGAAGTTAAATGTTCCCTCTACATCCTAATTACCATGGACATTTCACAGCCCTGCCCTGGGCCAAGAGGCGCTGAAAGTCAGTCACACTACGTGTAGTGTCAGGGTCTGGTGACGGGCAAGGTTTCCTCTGCATGTCTGAAAATAGTTATGCTCTGTGCCCTGCTACAGGAAGAGAAAGTGGTTGCCAGAGTTGCACTTGGGCAAGTCAGGAGACCACTGCAGAGGGTGTGAACAGAGGACGGGGCAGTTATTACACAAAGGCACTCATGTCACTGGAACCCACGTGGGTGGCTCTGGCTTCATCTTCTCAGGGCACTGTGTGCAATTCATCTTTACATGTATAACTGTGTTAAAGTTCAGTGAGATGACTTCCTCTTCCACACTGCTGGGTGGGGGAGAGGGGAAGGGAGGGCACAAACTGAAGGATCTTATGCAGAAGGCAAAGAGGACAAGTTCCTGCTCTCAGTGATGATGCCTGGCCTGACCAGAAACACCTACAACAAGTAACATCCTACTTCAGCCATGGATTACAACATGCTCACCTGTTCTGTGGAGATGGCTCCGGGGTAGTTTGACCAGTACCAAAATCTGGGAAGGGATGAAGCATGCCAAGTCAGGATGGAGTCTCCAGATTTGAAAAATCAAACTAGTCTCTATTTGGGTCAACTTTGGGGAGGGAGTGTTG